CTGGCCAGGGCTCTGCGGGCGCCGCGCCCGCCTGGAGCCTGGCCGGGAAGCCAGGTCCGGGCCCGAGGCGCGGGACGCTCGCCTGGGAATCCCGCCTCAGCCCTAGACCCTTAGCTCAGCGCCAGACGAGGAATTTTAGCCCTGGAGCTGACACTGAAGTCGGAATTGTGCTTAGGGTGATCTCTGTGTTGGCTTTAGACGGAAGATCCATCCCAGCGCTACAACCAGGGCACTGGGGGAGCGAAGACATTAGAGTGCCGTGGCGGGAGCGTTGGGGAGAATCTTAGCCAGCGATGAGCCCACTAGAATCTCCCCGGGGCAGCTCGGGGCCGGTGGCTCCGAGCTCCGGGACGCGGGAGAGGCGATGGCGACGGGGTTCCCATGATCCTGCTTGCACAGGCACGCTGGCCACCCCTGTGGTCAGAAGGCCTAGAGGTGGCAGGTGTGGATGCAGAGTCCTGCAGATCCTTTCGCGGAGGGTGTTTAAAAGCTTGGCTCCCCTGGTACCAGGTCCTTTGAGGGGGGAAGGGGGCGGCGAAGGGGAAGACAGGCCAGGCTGGCGCTAGGCTGGCGCTGGGCTGGCGAGGCGCAGGGCGGCGCTGGGGTGACTTAGCTCGCTCCCTGTGCGCCCCAGCCCCACCGCAGCCGCTGCCATGCTGGGCCCTTGGCTGCTGCTCGCCTTAGCGTTGACCCTGACCTTGGCCGGCGTTCCTGGCGGCCACACGCAGTCCGACGAGGTGGCGGAGCAGGAGGTCGCGGTGATGGCCGAGCACCCTGGCCTGGACGGCCTTCTGCGCCAAGCTGAGCGCCTTCTTCTGCTCCGAGAAGACCTCCAGCAGCTGCAGGGAGACCAGCCTGAACCGGAATCTGGTGAGGGGCCAGGGAGCCCCCGGCTCCTCTGTTGAGCAGGAGGAAGCCTCGGGAAGGGGCTGGGGGAGTCCCCTCCAGAGGGGAGAGAGCTGTGGCCATCCAGCTGTCTGCCTTTTACAAGGTCAGCAACTTTTTAGCCAGCCTTGGGCAGAGTCCTGAGCTGGCCCTTCCCCAAGCCCTTCCTCAGTCCTGGGTCTGTTCCATCTCAGCCCTGGGACTGTTTGACTGAGCACAAACCTCCCACTTGGGGAAGATTCTGGCCAGGAGAGAGCTCGTGTGACAGTCTTTAGCACTAGTCACTGGACCTGGGCCAGCCACCTCTGGCAGCTCTTCAAACGGGCGTCACATCATTTATCTGCCTAACAAGGTCTCAGACGGGTGCTGTTATCAGCCCTCTTTACACAGGAGACAGACCCAGAGAGGTTCAGTGAGTTTCTTAGGGTCACACAGCTCGGAAATGGCAGAGCAGCACTGGAAACAGCAGTGCCTCCATCCCCGCCCCCCCAGTGGGTGCCCCTGGGGCAGAGAGCAAAGCCAGGCCAGGCCTCTGGGCGAGTGAGTGCGAGTGCTGCAGGGAGTCTGTCACCCCAGAGAGGGCTCGGGGGTGTTGGGGTGTTGGGGTGGGTGTCAGGCCCCAGGGGTCCCTGACTGGCTTCTTTCTTTCCCCAGAGTCTCAGCTCTTTCAACCCAACTGGCTCTTGAAGCGTCAGCATCCTGGCAAAAGGGAGGAGGCAGCAGAGGGAAGTGAAGAGGAGGAGGAAGGAGGGGCCGTGGGACCCCACAAACGGCAGCACCCTGGCCGGCGGGGGGCTGCCTCTGCGTGGCCCCTCCACGTCACTCAGCAGAAGCGGCAGCACCCGGGCCAGCGCGCCTCCTGGCTCGGGGACGTCTTGACCAAGAGGCAGCACCCAGGCAGATGGCTGGTGGAGCCCAAGCCCCAGCGCTGGGAAGAGAATGAGGAGCAGGTCGGGGAGGAGGGGGCGGAGCTGATGCCTGAGAAACGCCAGCATCCGGGCAGGAGGGCCTTGGGGGGCTCCTGTGGGCCTTGGCAAGCCTGTGGTCAAGCCAGCCTCCTGCTGGGGCTCCTGGATGACCTGAGCAGGAGCCAGGGAGCTGAGGAGAAGCGGCAGCACCCAGGACGGAGAGCAGCCCTGCTCAGCGAACCCCTGGCGCAGTGAACCCCGTGACTTGCAAAGTCCAGTTTGGCACCTAAGACCGTCGTGGGCCTGTGTGGCCTGTGAATCCTCTGTGTCCCCTTTATTCCCCCCCCTGCTGACTCCCTATGTACACAGACCTTGGCCCCGCCCCTGCTTGGGGAAGTCTGTCTTTGTTCAAACCCCATATCACCCCACTTTGCCCCTCCGGCAAGGGGGAAAGCCCTGGCTCCTCTCCCTACTCCTGCAGGCCTGCTTAAGGTGATGCTTGCGACTTCTAAGGGACTCCCAGAGTGGGACAGTGTGCCTCTGGGGCGCGCACCACTGAGGGTAGGTGGAGTCCAAGCTGTGCTGCCCAAACCACAGCCTCTCCGCACGTGGACTTCACCCCCAGAACCCAGGTCTCCTCCTCTTCAGCATCCCTTTGCGGGTGGGTGGCGTTCTGAGCCCCTATGTGATCTCCTCGAGGGGAGCACTGTAAGTGAAGACACCCTGAGGTGCTGTGGGTATAAACGTGGGGGGCTGTGTCAGCATATGACCCTCTAGGTATCTCCCCTTGTCGGTGATAATCATCCTAACGATAATAAAACACGCATTGAGATCACCTCAGAGTTCTTGGTTGCAGTTCTGTCTGAGCTGGTTGGGGATTCTCTTTTTAGCACTGAGAGAAAACAGGACTACAGCTCCCCATATCTGCTGAGGGAAACAGGGGCACTAGGGAATATGTGTGGAAAGGGATTCTGGAGCCCATTTGGCACCTGTGGGGGAAACTGAGGCTCAGAGAAGGGGAAGGGCTTGCCCAAGGCACACAGTTGGCTGAGGTGGAGTCACTGGCTGAGCGCGCGGGCCCTGCCTTGAGTCGGCCTGGGTCGGTGAGGGCTGGTCTGGTTCAGGTTTGTAACCATTATGGTTCTGTGGTAGAATCAGCAGCCTGTGTCACCTGGCCGACTCCATGAGGACAAAGGACCAGGCTATGGCTACTGACCCAACCAGGAGTCTTCCGGGGCTGGCCAGGTAGTAGGCTGGACTAGAGGGAATGGTGGGGACTAGGGCCAGCTGGGACTAGGGCTTAGGGAAGGCACATAAATCTCAAAGCTACGACAGGAATGATGATGCTACGCACAGCACATAATACGTCAGGCTTCGTCCTAAGCACTTGACCTATGAAAGTCCTATGAACCACAGCAATCCTAGGGATTATTGTTGTGATGTTCAGTCCGCTGATAAGGAAACCAAGACATGGAAATGTTAAGAAGGGTGAGTCTGGACCCCTCACTGCTAGTCTGTGACCTCTGACTTAAGCCAAATCCCCAAATTTCCTCAGACTTTACATTCTGAGGTAGTCAGAACTCTCTACTTGGTGGATGGATGGACTTTCCGGGTTTTCTGCAAACTGCTTTTGTCCACCTGCTTGGATGGAGGAAAGAGCGGCTAGAAGGATGACTGAGACCAACTCCTTTCCTCAGGGAGCTGCCAGTCCTGGCATGGTGTGGCAGAGGAAGACAGGGCTTATCGGGTGCATTCACTCCTGTCATTGCCATTAACACCCCCCAAAGTCTGCTGAAATCTTGAGCGTTTGATGGACTCTTGGGTTTTCCTCACGTTCGCATGAGGGAGCCATGTCAGAGGCCAGGTTCTGGGCTGAGGTGTGTGAAGCAGGTCCGGCCTTTTCTCTGGCTTTGACTCTGCCCCGCCACGCTGCCATCTATACAACCGCCGGGCCAGGCAAGATGCCCACAGCTCAGAGAGGTAACTGCGCTCACTGGATCCTCTCCCCGACTGCAGGGGGAGGCCAAGGTCATGTCCATTTGCAGGTGAGGAAGTTTACTCAGGTGTGGAAGAGTGAAGCACCTGTGAAGGATCCAGCCCGTCCACCACTCCTGCTTGCGCTTGACTGGCAGGAGAGGAGATGGGGGCAGCGAGAAGTGGAACGCCCCCTCCCCCACACTACATTGCCTTCCCCACCCCTGTGAGTGATGGGTGGGGTCTCTGTTCTTTTTTGTTGTTGTTGTTGTTTTAAGATTTTAATTATTTATTACTGGGAACAGACCAGAGGTGCAGGGGCTGTGAGAGGCTTCACCAGAGACAGAGTGAAGAGCGGAACAGGCAGACTGACAAAGTCCACTGCTGAGGGGAGCAGTGGGAGAGACAGGAGAGGTCTGCTGCGCCATGTGGGTCATCTCTGGGGCAGGGGGTCGAATTTGCACCAAGGTGGCTGCAGCTGGGGCCAGCTTGCAGTGCTGCGCTCTAACCCACTGCACCACCAGGGAGGGTCCCTGAGAGTTTGTTCTTTTTCATTGCTGAATAGTAGTCCTAATTCTTAAACTCTATCCTCTTCCCATGCCTTCCTGGTTGGAAACAGAGGAAACAGATTTCCTTGGCAGGTCACTTCTGTGGTGTCATCTGTGAGTCTGTGCTCCACGCCCTTTCATGATGTCAGAAGCACCTTGCTCCAAGAGTGATAGAAATATACAATGGCTGGTGCCAGACAGGTATCAGCCATCGGGGCATGAGCATGCACAGCCCTGGGACTATGGAGCCCCTGCCCCCACGAGGCATTCCCAAAGCCCTTTCTGTGGGCTGCCGGAGTCCTGGTAACTCCCCTCCTCTTCCTTGTCTGGGAAGCCTGCCACACTCCACTCCTTCCTTGCAGTTTTTAGTTTGCAATTACAGCTGTCTTAAACCAGTCCCCAACGAGGACTTCAGCGGGGCTACTTGACTAAGATAGGAAGGTGATTCCAGGAAACCCTGGTGTGGGTGTGGGGCTGTGACTTGGGAAGGAAGGAGTGTGGAATGCCCACTTTTGTGGGAAACTGGGCTCTGTTGCTCCAGACCCCTGGGAAACTGCAGAACAGGCCTCAGTCACCCGACTTCGCGGGGAGAGGAAATGGAGGTTTTCTTCTGGCTCCCATGGGCCAGAGTTGGGGGCTGCTTTTGGGGGTGCTCACTCCCTGGCCCTTCCAGCTGGCCTGGGTGCTGACTGCAGGAAAGCACTGGGAGAGAGCCAGGACCCCATGGCTCAACCTGCCCAGGGAGAGCGGAGGCCCAGGGAGCAACCAGAGGCATCTGCCAGCCTAGTTGGCAGTTTTTCTTAACTGAGTCCTCACCCACCAAACTCTGCATCGCCCTTCCCCAGCCCCTGGACAGTGCTTGACAGACAATCAGCATTCATTGAACACTGTGCCACCAAGAACCTATTACGTGTGCTGTGCCACCAGGGCCCTACTATGAGCACTGGGCCACCAAGGACCTACTATGTGCACTGGGCCACCAAGGAC